CAGAAGTCTTGTAATCTTTCTTTATCTGTTGAAGAATTCTTGCGACAAGTGAAACTACTGTGAGCCAGCTCACAAAGCGTATGTTTTATGCACTCTGCATAACCATAAGAAGCTCTCTGAACCTTTATGCTAGACTGAGAACAAGTGGGGAGAATAATTGGAGGTGGTAATTCTCCATTGGCTTCACTTGGAATCTTGGTGCAGCTCCTAAAGTAGTATTGCGAGAAGTGTAGCACAAATCCTGTCAATAAAACACCCAGCTAGCTCAAATTTCTTTTCTCTGTGGTACAGTGATCACTATTTTAAAAGTCCAAAACTTCTCTACAGATGTCTTCTTTTTGGTTTTAATAGGATTGCAATGCCTAACTCTTCCTTCATATTCTTTAAGCATTAATTAATCAAATGTTCTGTATGAAATCATCTTTTGGTTGACTCCTATCTAGCTTGAAACATGGCATTTTACTGAAGTTTCTCATTCACATGTTGTGAAATCGGAAGTTATCTGAAAGATAGTCTGGTGAGAGTTGGTTGTGAGAAATTACTTTTTCCTGGTCTGGGGTGCCCTGCTAAAAAGTGTGTATCGCAGCAAAGCCTTTCAGTAAGTAACTTTAAGCATGTGCATTGTCACATTGTAGTCACTTCAGTGAGCTGAGTTGTGTGCTTAGTAATGCATGTGTTTAAATGCATTGCTGGATCAGGGCCTAGAACTGTAAGGGCCACTGTATTAGTTGGGATCCATTAGAAGCTATGCACCAAAGACAAAGGATGTTGATTAAGTTTATTTCCATGAAAGGCTTTATTTGCAACATACTAGGTAGGCTTTGAAACTCATAATGACAAATTATGCAGGAAGGATGGCACTTCATTGTCAGTGTCCATAACACAATTAGAGTATCCATAACCAGTAGAGCATATAGTCCATGTGACAGACTATCCTGTGGGCAAACCCTATGCTGCAGGAATGAATATACACTAATGTAGTAACTCAAGAAACTGCCCACAGATTCTCTCGAGACCATCTTTGTAAGGTCCTTATGTCAGTTTTCACTGTATATTGGGTTCTACTGCAGTCCTTCTTGTAGACAAAGCTGGGAAAGACTGATTCAGAATATCTCAAGAGAGTTAGGTTATGAACCTAGTGTTGAGAAATCCGAGTGATGTCTTCCTTTAACTAAACTGGACTTTTTAAGAATTACTGCCACCTTTTTAGCTCTCTGTAGTTTATTATATTGTTTGGCTCTTGAAGAGTTGGTAGTCCACTATATACAGACAGATTTGAAGAATGGAAAGAGGAGCATCTTCTCATTTCACTTAAGGAGCTCCATATTAACAAAGGATATAGCTCTAAACAGAAGTTCTTTTGATCTTATTAGTTAATTGTGTTAGTTTTGTGTATGGCTTTCAGTAGGAAATATTCAAAGGTAACTGGAAAAGATCTTTATAGCATATACTGGGTGTTTTCATTCTCGGAATTAGAAAATCTATAAGGGAAACGGAACAGCAGAAAAACCAATGGAAAATAATTTTTAAAATGGTGTTCCCTGTGGTTTACAAATTGGTAATTAGTTAAACTGTAGCATGGCTGTTCCAGCTTTTTTTGTCTGTCTTCAACCAAGATTTAAATATCTCATTTGCAGAGAGCTTCAAAAATTTTCTTCTATATAGTACATTTTTTTTTTTTTTTTACCTTCTAACTTTGGATATTTTCAAGTGCTGTTTGAATAATACTAAACAAATATATTTGACAAAAAATTCAAAACTCTGTAAGTGTTATGAAGCATTAGTTCTCTGGGTAACAAAAATATGAAAAACATTTTAAGCTACAGTACAAGTAACAGTAATATAAAATTTATTTGCAAATGTTTGAGAGTCCTAGGATGATTTAAAGGACTTGTCTTTTAATTAAAAGTGCCATACACTTAGTAAAAATCCATGTTAGTTGAGAAATTGATTTTTTTTTTTTTTTTTTTTAAAGCTTAGTTTTCTTGTATGGGGTAAATGTCACTCTGTTCATATCTTAGCTTTGCTGCAAGTCAGGACTTGTACTATTCCACCAGGTTGTCATAGAAACGCAGCTAACTGTCATCTCAACTCAGGCTGCTGATGGTTTTATTTGTAGGTTTGCAGGATTATTAAAATTTAACAAAAATTATTGATTTGCTTTTTATTAATGCTGGCTTGTGTTTACCTTAGAAGTTCAGGCTGCATAAAAGCTTTTCCTGATAAGAAAATATTTGTAAGATGTTAAGCTCAAGTACATTAAATGTGTTTGACATTTTCTCTCTCATTTAGAATGTGATAGTCTGTGGCAATAGAGTAAACTTGTATTTTTTTACAAATCATTTTTCATTTCCTTTTTTTACAGTGAGGCAAAAATTTCTCAAATTCACCTTTTGCCTGACTTTTACTTTACATAAAAGATACCTGTCAGAAAAGCATGAAGTGGGTACATCATTGTGGCTAATATTTGAAGTTTTCATTTTATATACATTTTCTTGAAACCTGGCAGAATGCTTCAGTACACTGAGTTTTGAAAGTGTATATATATTTTTATATGCATGTGCAGGAAAAATTATTTAGTTTCCACTCATAAATAAGACAGGCAAAACTTATTTACAGTAACAGTCTCTAACGGCCCGTGGGTGAATGCTTTTATGCAAAATACTCGAGAGACTAGAATTAACTTTTCACATTGGTTGCACATATGATGTCCAGACTTCAGCAACATGTGGAATCTTATTACAAAGACTATTTGCCTAGAATTGAATTTTTACTTCACATATATATGTCAGGATGCACAGATCACTGATGCATTTCAAGTGTAGTCTTTGTAACGCTGTAAGAAATACAGTAATGTATTAATTGTTGTAAAATATATAAATAAAAAGCACTACTTTTTCATGCTTTTTACAATTTTCATCTGTTAAGGATTTGGAAGCACTGGTAACTTAGCTGACTTTTATATACAGCACTCTAATTTGACATTGTCATTCTGACTGGTAACAACTTTGTTCAATGTTGGATTTACTGAATAAAATTGTTTCTTGCTGGACATTTTGACATTTCACTTCAGACAACTATGTCATGGTTGTTGACATCCCTATATTAATTCCTTTTGTATGCAGCCATAAAACTCTTGAACAAATTTTAAAAGAACCTTTTATTCTAGCATGTATTCAGTAAGTTGGTGGTATGAAATATTGAATTTCTATCATAGTTTCATATTTTTATTATGTTTTCTGGAAAAGAACATATATCATGATAACATGGGAGATAATAGTTTAAACAGTCTCAGTAGTTTAGTATTTTAAGTAATCATATTGGCTTTTAATATAGCAAAAGACTAGTTTGTTTTTACTTGATGAAAGGCTTAAAAACCCAATAGTATTTCATTTTTGTTTCTCATTGGGAGTTATATAGCCTTTATACTCATTAGACATGAAAAAACAGCACATCTATAGCACCCTTTGTCTGAGGCTCTCATTATGCTTTATGAATATTAATTGAACCTCCTATGCCCCTTTTTGAAGTCAGTATTAGAATCATTTCACCCATCAGTGGGGTGGAACACCGGGGCTGTTTTAACAGTGCACTGCAATGATACACATCAATTGTAGGACAGAAAGTGAAAAAGAATACTATATCCAGTATATATACACTAAACTCTTAGGCTAGGTCTACACTACAGCGGGGGGTCGACCTAAGATACGCCACTTCAGCTACGTGAATAGCGTAGCTGAAGTGGCGTATTTTAGGTCGACTTACCTGGCTGTGAGGACGGCGGCAAGTCGACCGCTGCCGCGCCGCCGTCGACTCCGCTACCGCCTCTTGCTGCGGTGGATTTCCGGAGTCGACGGTAGAGCCATCAGGGATAGATTTTTATCGCGTCTTCACTAGATGCGGTAAGTCGATCCCCGATAGACCGATTGCTACCCGCCGGATCGGCGGGTAGTGAAGACGTAGCCTTACTTTTGATAGTGGTGTTCTCATTCTAATTGAGAATAGGAGGATGTCATTGTAGATATACTACTTCATAGTAAGGATGCTTTGGAACATATAGTATCAAATGAAGCTATTAAATATAAAATGTATCCATTTGAAATATATATATACTGCAGTAGGGCATTTTGGTATAAACACCCAAATTCTGTATTGAACCTTGAGCATTCATTTATAGAAGGTACACAACTAGATTGACTGTTTGTTTTGATCAGCTATCTCTCTCTCTCTCTCTCATATCTAACCATTCACTTTGTGTCACTTTTATGTGCCTTTCCTCAGTCCTGAATGCTGATTGGATGACTACATAGTTTGTTTAAAGGGTAACAACAGGGTAGGTTTGAAATCCTAGAAACGTGCTAGATCAGTTTATCCATATGAAGGTTACTGTGTCCAGATCTTTTTCTCGAACAATTTTGCAGCAACATTTCTACTTTTTGTTTGTTTGAACATAAAACCCATTGACACGTCTTATACAGGTAACACATTTCTAGTAGATATTTTTATTTTTATTCACAGCATTTTGTGTCTGTCCTTCCTACCGAGGTGCAGCATCTTGTAAAGGTCTTCAAGTTTCTTGTAATGTGCATGCTTCAGCTCGGAGCTAAAAGTGGCTACAGCTGCATACTTTTTTGTTGTTGTTGTTATCACCAACTTTGCCATATCCATACTTTATTTTTTTCTTAATTGGGAATGAGTAACATTATTTAACAAAGTACCCATGTACATTTTTCCTGCTTGTTACAAATCAACTAAGTGCCTCTTACAGTTTAACTGTATCAATTTACTTATTTACAGTATTGTATTTAGTTGCACCCAGAACTCTGGTACCAGTAATTGGAATGTTAAGTATAGTGGCTGTTGTTGAGAGATCATAGAGAACCATTTATGGCTGTTGCTGTGTGATAGTATTTGGGGAGTCTCTGAGTATTTGATATTTAAATTAAACTTAAAAAAGCCCTCTTTTTCCCCTCCCTCTTCCCCAACTCTTAATAACATAGGAAGATGAGAGTGAAGAAGAACCCAAGCTGAAGTATGAAAGGCTTTCTAATGGAGTGACTGAAATTCTCCAAAAGGATGCAGCCAGTTGCATGACCGTGCATGAAAAGGTACCTTTTTCCTTTTTTTGGGTGGGGATATGAACTAACTGTTTGCTTGTTTTTAAAATATCTGTCTGTTTATATGTTATCTTTATCAAAAAAGTTAGAGATTTTGGTTAAGGAACTGACAAATCTGAAGATCGTCTCAGCTAAGTACAGTGCAGGCTGAGCTGACTTAATAGTAACCTCTTGTTGGACACTGCTTCTCTCCTCTCCCCTCCCCCCCCCCAGGGGGTAAGAGGTAAGAATTCCATATTTTGTAAGGTGGAATGTTTATATGAGCTACTGTGAGATTTAGTTCTAATTAAAAAACTTATCATGGGCTAGGATCAAGATGCAGTCCCAACTTTATCAAGTAAAGAACTCAGCATCTTTTGAATCATTCCAAACAAACTCAATCCTGCCAGGGGCTGATTTCGTGGGAGAGGGTATTCATCTGTGGAAGACAACTGAGATTTTGTTAATAAAACAGGAAAGTAATTAAAATACATTTATTCCTGATTCTTTACAAGCAAACTAGGCTCAGTACACTCAGACCAGGTGATGCGACTCAAAACCTGTACTAACATTAGTCTAAAAGACGCAGGAGCAAAAGACCACTGAAGATAGAAGGGCTTGCATTGATGGGAATAAAAGTACAGTTTTGTGAGAAGATGGAGTGGCAACTTCAGCTATGATTTTTGTAACTCTGTGTCCATCAATTAAACAATTTTTTTCTTTTTCTGAATTTACTTGCTTTTAATATTAAATTATAAAATATTAAAGACAAGGTGTTGTACATTTGAAAGTATATGACTTTAATGACTCCTATCAAAAAGGTGTTATAATATATTAAAAAATGTAATATATACAGTTGTATTTTTTTTTTTTATTTATAATTTTCTGGCAGACCATAATGGCTGCAAAGCAGCTACCATTGGGGTGTCTGTGATATGTTGTTTTGTTATACATTCAAGATTAAGACTTGTGCTGAGTGTTTCTTTATTCAGAATACTGGCGCAGCTGCTCAAGAGGCACTTTTTAGGGTAGTGAAAGTTCATGTTTAAAATTTGTTAAATTTTAAATTTAACTGTATGAACGAAAAACGGAGAGTCTCTCTTTTAAACATTAAAGACTTAAAATCAAACAGATGTTTTGAAAATTGGAAAGAAACTCCTCCTAGTCTGGGATCTTTTTCAGTCTTAAGTGAATTTTTAAACCCAACTGATTAAATAGAATTTTATATATGGAAATTTCCAGAATACCAACCTTAACTATAGGGTCACAAAGAGTGACACTACAGTAAGGCTGTTTTAAGTATCCAAACACTCTTAGATTTCTAGCAAACTAGATACACTATTTATGAGGAGGATCAATATTATTAGAAGCTAGGGGATTAGTCTTTTGGGAATTGGTCTGTTACAACAGAGAGCCTAAAAGCAAAGGTAGAGTGTAAGCTTTTTTTTTTTTTTTTTTTTTTTTTCTGGGGGCGGAGGGGCGTTAAGGAAAACCATACAAAAGAGTTGGCATAAATGAAATTATAGTCCTATTATACACGTACTTCTGATTAGAACAATTTGACTTTGTTGGGAGTCCCAAATTCTGGCTTATATAGTCAGACTAATTTCTCCCCGGAATTATTTTTTCTTTCAATGCTATAGCATCATATTTTCACCAGGCTCTCTGTCTGCACTGGATGACTAATCGTCCTGGCACCTGGTGCATTCAAGCAGGCCTGTGCAGTGGAATAGTCATACCTAGTTATGTCTGCACACCTGATGTTTTATTAACCAGTATTGATTTTTTTACCCGGGGGACTTTTTTCTTCCTGAAAAAAGGCAACCTTGCAGGAGTGAAAGGCATTGCAGGGGATGAATTTCTAATGAACCCCTTCTTTCCCTTTTTTTTGACTCCTCTTTAATGTAGCTTCATATTTTAAGTGCCTGAACTGAAATTTCATTTTAAGCAATTCCATTTTGATAAATCCTTTTAAACCTTGACTTTCTGTAAGGTTATTTTTTAAAGATTGTGCTGCTTGACTGACACGCTTAGTAGTGCTTGTAAATTTGAGCATTTCATTATTGGTTGCAATGAAGCATGCTCACATGCAGAGAAATACAGAGAATTTAGGAGCCTAGGCCATTTGAGTAATGCTAAATAGAAAAAAAAAAAAGAAAAACCATCTGTCATATATCAAGTAGTAGTGAAGTTTCTGCTGGTTTGTTTAGGGTTAGTTCACACAGTTCAACTAACTGTGGGTCTCCTGGAATCATTTGCCTTTTTACATCTATCAGATAAATGTGTTGTTCTGTTATGTGTATTTGTTGAGAAATAATTTGTCATAATTAGACTATCATAGTATAAAATGGCGGGTGAATGCATGCATCATTAAATGTCAAAATATCACAGTGTCAAAGAAAATAAAGAATCAGGATAATATTAAGTAGATCTTTAAATAGCTTTCCATGTTATGGTATTCTGTGTAATAAGGGCCTAAGAGTTGGCTTTTCAAATATTCAAAAAGCTTTGTTTTTGAATATTTATTGTATTGGCAAAGAAGAATTAAAAGTAAATAGCTTCTTAATAATTTCCATAGCTTTATTTTCAAGCATGTGTTACCCTTGCTTTCACGCTGCATTTTTAATTTGCTGCCACAGTCCATCAGGCAATATGTACAGAGTGCAGACATACCATTAGTTGTCAGTAGATGAGGGTTCCCATGACTCATTCTGACAGCTAACTTGCACGATCACAATAATATGGGCTTCAAGCCCTGTTTTATTCTTTAGGTGCATCCAAAATAAGCTTCGTCCATAGAATAATGTCTTTTAGGTTGCTGTTAAAAAATTAATCTACTGAATATCCTGGAGTTCTTTACCTGGTGGGATTTTTTTAAAGTTGGAATGTATTTATTTAATCAGTCTCTTTCTCTTTTTCTTATCACAGTTTTTGGCACTCGGCACACATTATGGCAAGGTTTATTTACTTGATGTCCAGGGAAACATCACCCAAAAGGTTGACATTGTAAGTAAAACATAATTTAGAAAAAATGTATTGCGATGCAAAATATTATGATGTACCAATTAGTAAATGAGGTTATTGCTCTCAATACACCTGAAATTTTAAAAATACATTTCAAAAACTCCTCCTGATATAAGAAGATGAATATGAAACATGGAAAAAGACACTATAGCACATTGTCTTATGTGGACACATCTCAGATTGCATGTAGGATGTGTTCATCATTACTACAGAAAAGGAAATACATATTTGTGATTGTAATTAACGATAATCATCTACCTCCTCTAGAGGCTCTTGACTTCCTTAAGGTATTAGCCGACTTATTAGCCGACTATTGTTGATTGTTAGTATGTGTGCTATCATCTTATCAAGATGCCAAAAGTAATTGAAAATTGATTGATTGCCTTGCTAGTTCAGTTTATCTACTGCAAATATATAAAGCTAATATTTTATGTGAATGTTTTGAAGCTTAGACTCTTAAGGGATGGTATTGATTGAAGGAGAAGAGGCAGACTTTTTTTTTTTTTTTTTTTTTTTTTCCTGGAATCATTGAGGATTATTTTAATGTTTAATTTAAAGCTGTGTTCTAAGGTATTAAATGCACGTTTTTAAAGTATGGAGGGTTTGAGTGTGTTACTTTCTTTTTGCTTTTTTTTATTTTAGTAAAGTTTTTTTTTTCTAGCATTGTCACAAATTCCAATGGGCAGACATCACTTTTTCAAAAGCAGCGTCAGCTCTTGTCAAAGTATCTATCACAAGATGTCGACATGTTTGCAAAATAGAACACATGTTCTGAAGCTAACACAGCTAGCTGCACATGAAAGGTGAAAGGTTATATTTTTATATTTGAACAATCTAATTACACAATTGTTTCCAAAAAAATAAAAACCACCAAAAAAAAAAAATCTCCTAGGAACAGCCTTTGAAGGAAATTTTATATATTATAGTGGTCAGATTGACAGTGACCTTACTTGAGATTAGTGAAAGTCAAGTTAACTGTGTGTGCTCCATCAGCCCGACAGGGTAGATGCTGACTGCATTTAATAGATTCATAGATTCCAAGGCCAGAAGGGGGACCATTGTGATCATCTAATCTGACCTCCTTTATGACACAAGCCATAGAACTTCCCCAAAATACTTTCAAGGGAAGAAGGGCTTTGCCTGGCTCCCTTCCATGTTCTGATTACTTTACACAGGTGCTATTTGCCAAAGACACACACTTGTAATTTTAATCCAATCTGATTTATTTGAGGCAAATGAGAATTTTATCTAAATCCCAATTTCTTCATTTCTAAGCTATGCATTAATGGACTGATCCAAAGTCTATTAAAATCAGTTAGTGTCTTTCCCCTAGATTCAGGGTTGAAATGCATCTGCCTGAAAGTTCTATTTACCCCACAGGTGGACTCTGTGTGTTATATGCCTGAAACGCTTCCTCTTGTTGCAAGTCTCCTCTTCCTCCCAGTCCTACAACTAGTGATCACTAATGCCCCAATCCTAAAAGGTGATCCACATGCCTGCGCAAAGCCCCGTTGATTTCAGTAGGGTGCACTGCATGGGCATAAGGGCTCATCTGCAGAGATCCCAGGCAGAGTTAGAACCTAAGAATAAGATGGATGCCCTACCAGGAAATAGAGGCAAATAAAAACCCAGTCCCTCAAAGCGTGTGTGTGTGTGTGTATGTTTGCTTTATAACACAGAATGCTAGCAACAGCTACTGTTTTATGTTATAGTAAAATTAAGGTAGGTTACTTAAGCATTTCTATTCTAAAATCCCTTTTTCACTTGCTTATAACTCTCCTAAAATTTTATTATTCCAGGTTGAAATTTTCCAGGTCTATCTTTAATATTTTTTCAACTTTGTTCAGCAGCTGTAATGCGTCAGTAGTTTAGAATAGAAAGCTGAAGTTAAGCAAGGTTTAGGAAGAAGAGGTGCCTTTTAAGATTCTGTTTAAAATTGTTTTTGATATGACAGAGTTATGTGGGTTCTAAATTGTAGTGTAATATAATGTATCTGATTAATCACCAGGCATTCTAAAGCAAAGAGGGCTGCATGTGTGTGAACTGTCGCAGCTCTGAAGTACCCTTCCCAAGCTTAGTGTACAATCCCTTGAGTGCTGTTTCCCAAGATGGAGAGCTGCAGCTACTGAGGCAGTTTGTCATCATTGATGTGCCTCTTTCCATGCCAAAAACTACCATCCAGCCTAAACTGTGTTTGAAGTCGCTAGATTACAGAATAGAGAGACATAACCATCAGATGGGGAAGGAGCAGGACAGCCTTCCTTCCCCTTTCTTTTTCCCTTTGTCTACCATTTTGCCCTCCACAGGGTTGTGAAGAGAAAAAATCTTTTCAGGAAGGAGAGAGTCACACAGTAACCCCCAATCATACCCTTCAAAGGCCTAAGATTTTTTTTAAATGCTGTGCAGTAAGGAGAGCTAGTTAACCTTGGCTCTTGCTGGGTTCTGTCTCCTAGGAGTAAATAGGCTGAAGGCCTGTTATAATGAATGGTGGAATTTATTATTTGAAGAAAAGGATTGTTCAGGTAAGTAGGAGAAGGTTTCTCATGAAAGAAATGTTACTTCAGATTGTTGCAATCTTGGAATCATTTGCAGCCCTGGCAAATTAAGAACTTCAAGACTAAACTTTCGCACATCTTTTTAAAAAGTTGATGTTTTTTAAGCATAGCTTCAGCTTTCTCCTTTTAGTATAGTTAAAAGGACACCAACAACTCAGTCTGTCTGTTTAAAAGAAATGAATTAAGTAATTTCAGGTACTACCCGTGCCCCTGAGTGTGTCTGCCATTTTTGTGGTTTTACAGCCATGTTTTACTGTATCTTAAAAATATTCTTCTCTTTTCCTGTCACTATGTGAAAGACCTACACAAACAGGGAAAACTGATTATCAGGAGAGACTGTGAAAATTACCATAGACAAAATATTGTCAAATGCAAAACATAAATTGGGTAAAAAGTAAAACAAACAAACAAAACCTCACCCACCTTGTGTTTCTAGATTAAAGCAAATTTTTTTTTAATTGGACCAACTTCTGTTGGTGAGAGAGACAAGAGATTACACATTACTCTCATTTATAGTAATCTTAGGAGTTGATGGTAATGATAGTAGGTAAAGATATTTCAGACAGAGACTTGACTATATTGCTTTAGGACCAAAAAAACCGCCGACCTCTGCCCTTTAACTAAGCTAACCACTATTAGGAAAACTCATTGCTGGATTGAAAGAGGAAAAAATAGTCTAGAGGATGTTGTCACTTAGACTCCTCTGAAAACTGACAGGTAACTTATGTGATTGTTATGCAAAATAAATGAGAAGTTTCCTCACAGTTTGCTCTTGGTACTCTCCATTTTTCTCCTTTCTCTCCTTCCCAACCTCAGGAACGTATACATATGGGAGTCTATAATATCTACATTACACTTTTTTTCTGTTTCATAATGATTAACATTGATTTTGATTCAAAACGTGAGGCTGATTTTGGAAGACTGGACTCTTGCAGTATAGTTTCTTCTGTTTGTTTAGCTTTGTCAAACTTGCAAGAGATGTGGAAAGTACCTTTGCAGAATCTCTACTGACTAATATTGATTATGTGCTTTCTATTGAAAACTGAAGTAATTCAGTACCTTCCTAATACTTCGTAAATTAAAACCAGGCAGCTCTAGAAAGTAGCTGGGCTCTTTGCATTCTTCCTTTATGCTTTATTTTATTTTATTTTTTTTTAACATCTAGGGCTCTTGATTCTGTAAGGTGCTGAGTGGGGAAGAAACTTTCCCTCAGGGCAGGTTATCCCATAAGCCATGAATGTTGGCTCCGATTCTGTGGAGACTTAAACATGTAATGTACTTTATGCTCTGGGAGTAATCCCATGGAAGTCAATGGGAATACTTTACAGCGTGTAATTTTTAAGCATGTGCTTAATAGTTTTTGCAGGATTAGGGCTGGAGTCTTCTACACCATCTTCCTGAAGCATCTGGTACTGCCCACTGTTGGTGATGGGATACCTGAGGTGAACCAGTGGTCTATTCAAGTTTGCAATTCCTGTGTTCTCAGAAAAATGAGTAGAAGGAATCCACTAGGCCCCAACAGGTTTGGAGGCCTTCAGGCAGGGGGGATTATAGGAGACGTGTTTTCTTGGTTTAGGCCCTGCATTTTGGTGATCTTGTAAATACTATGCTAATATCCTGGTACAGATCTCCTCACCTAGGATGCCTTTGCTCTCACCAGCATGGCTGTTTTTGTTGGTGACAAGCACTTAAGATTAACTGATATGCATCCTCAAATCACTTGCATTTGACAAACTGGTGTTCTTTTGTATTAAGGTTCAGTGCATTGAGTGATATGAAATGTGTCAACTACTTCGAAAATTATGACTAAAAGGCCAAAAAAAACCCAAAACACCCCTGATAACTCCACTGACAAAGGATTGTGCAGAAGTGATTTACAGCGTGTTAATTCCAAATGCCTCCACATCTTTGTTTTGGTCTTAGGCTGTCTACAATTGATTAATATAATTATTGCCTCAACTGACATCTTGTGGATTAAGGACTTGTAGCTATGAGGAAAGCTGTGCAAACATTTAGTTAAATAACAAATCAAAAACGTTTTGGGGGCAAAAATAAATGCCCTCTTTCCCAGGTGTTTTAATAAACATCATGTTTAAAACAAATATGGTAACTAGTCTTGGCTTGTGCCAATGAAGTCCTGTGCTTAGCCTATATTTCCCCCTCTGAGCCACTTTATAAGTAGGGTTGGTTTTTAATATTTAATGTTCAAAGGTGATGCATGATTGCAGAAAACAAATTTAAATAATGTTTTAAGGCAGTCTTTTGGTAGGAAGAATTGAAATCTTTTTAGCATGTAACATTTCTGAGACCATCAAGACTGGAGGAATTTTTTAAAAATCATGAAATATTTAAGAGACACCCCTTTTGTTGTAGAATTTTATAAATTTTGTTAAAAAAATGTTATAAATTTTCACATCCCTTCCAGGC